CTAGATGGAGACTTCCAAACTGAAAATAGGAGGACAGCTCCCTCACCTGCTTACAAAACCAGCTGGCAGTTTATGACAACACAGATTAGGACATGTGTTCAAAATACGTAATGATTTAAAGAAAAATAGAAAGCTTTTGGAGACAGTATGGCACTAGGTTAAGACACCGGCTTTGACTCTTTTGAGCACAATCACAAAATCCATAAGAAAATATTAGGAAGGCTGGGGATATAGCACAGCACCTGCCTGGCAAGCACAAGGTCGAGTTTGATTCCCAGTACCACCTCTCAAAAAAAAAAATCAAGCTGAATTCAGTAAGATATGAAAATTATAATATGTCACAAGCACATGAGCTATACCCCATGTGCTTGTGACATATTATATTTACTACTATAAAGCTAGTTCATTTTCAAAATTTAATCAGTACAAGCCACCACATTAACAATCTAAGTATCAAAATGGAGAAACAGTTATTTGAAACGTTTATCTGGGTATATTATAGCACACGCCTGTGATCCCAGCACTCAAGAGGCTGAGGCACAAATATCACTGTGAATCTGAGGCCAGCCTAGGCTACAGTGGGACTCTGTCCCAAAAAAAAAAAAGTTTCAGTCTGATAAATATTCATGATACAAATTCTTAGCAAACCACAAATACAACTACCCAAGCTGACCAACAGTAGCTACAGGAAAATCTCTGGCTTCCAGATTTCCAAGTTTGCTACAAAACCACAATAACTGAAACAGCGTCAGACATATGAACCAGTGCAACAGAGAGACCAGGGGAAGGAAGGCAACAACCCTCAAATATGTGGCAATTTTTTTTTCTTTCCTCATGCTGCTGAGGATCAAAGCCAGGGCCTTGTAGAAGGAAGGCAAGGCCAAATGATTTTTGACAAGTTTCCCTCATTCACTCGAGAACAGTCTCTTCAACCTGTGGAGCTAGGAAAAGAATATCCATATAGAAAACAACAAAGCTGAACGTTACCTTATATCGTATGGAAAAACTGAACTTGACATTAAAGACTTTCATGTTTCTTAGCTATGATACCAAAAGCACAAGCAAAAAAAGAAATAATAAGCAAATGGGGAACCAGGTGTGGTGCTGCACACCTGTAGTCCAGGAATTTGAGAGCTGAGGCAGGAAGATCACTGTGAGTTGGAGGTCAACCTGGACCACACAGCAAGTTCAAGACCAGCATGAACAAGGTCAACCTGGACCACTATGGTCTCACTATGTAGTTCATAACTGGCCGTGAACTCACTATGTAGGACAGAATAACCTCAAACTCATGGTGATCCTCCTGCTTCAGCCTCCCAAGTGCTGGGATTACAGGTGTGCCCCACCATGCCCAACCACCCAAAATATTTTAAGTAAAAATCTCTGTGCCCCAAATACAAGGTAAAAAGGCAAGCTTCAGAATGGAAGAAAATATTTGCAAACCATGTGTCCAATAAGATGTTGATACCCAGAATACAGAAAGACCTGCTGCAACTAAAACAAACAAATCAAAAACCCAACAAAGAATCAATTTTTAAGAATCAACAGAAGACTTAGACAATTCCCCTAAGAAGATATACAAATAGCCAGTAAACCAGAATAAAGATGTTCAATTATCACTAAGCATTAGGAAAATGGAAATAAAAACATAGAAAAAAGTGTTAGTGAGGATATGAAGAAACTAGAACCCCTGTATACTACTGGTGAGAATATAAAATAGTGAAGTCAATATGCAGAACAGTATAATAGTTCCTCAAAAATTAAAAACCAAAGCCAGGCATGGTGATGCACACCTACAGTTCCAGCACTCAGGAGGCTGAGGCAGGAGAATCATCAAGAGCTCAAGGTCAGCCTGAAGTGCATAGTAAGATCCTATTTCATGAAAACAAAACAAAACAAAAAATTAAAAATATAATTCCTGCCAGCCATGGTGGTGCATGCCTATAATCCCAGCTACTTGAGGCTAGGCAGGAGGATCCCAAGTTGCAGGCAAGTCTGTCCAACATACTGAGACCCTGTCAAAATAAAAAATAAAAAGAGGAACTCAATCCAAAATAAACTTAACTCAGGTGGAGATATAGCTCAGTGGCACAGTGCCTTGCTTGGCAAGCACAAGGTCCTGAGTTCAATTCTCAGTACGCTCCCCCTTCAAAAAAAAAGCTTAATCCAAAGGCCCTAGATTAAATCTCTAATACTGCCAAAGGGAAAAAAGAAGGAAGGGAGGGTGGGAGGAACAAAGGGAGGAAAAATAAGCAGGCAAGCACACAGACTGACTCAAAGACATATACCTAACTACATACACCCACATTAGTATCAGGGTTATTCACAATAGGCAAAAGGTGGAAGAAACCCAAGTGTCCACCAATGGGTAAATGGATACACAACATGCAACATATATAACAATATTACATGGCCCTAAAAAGTAAGGAAATTCTAACATATTGTACAATATAGATAAGTCTTGAGGACAATATGCTAAATGAAATAAGCCAGTCAGAAAAGGTCAGGCAGTACTCATATGATTCCATTTATATGAAATATCTAAAGTAGACAAAGCTACAGTAACCAAAACACTGTGATACTGGCATCATAACACATATATAAACCAATGCAGTAGAGAGGCCCAGAGTGGAGGGGGAAATATATATATATACCCATTTCCTTTTATCTGTAGGTTGCTAGTATCCAGGAGAAATGGGCACTTACTGTCAACAGATACCAAGTTTCAGTTTTCCAAGATGGGTTCTGTGGATGGACATTGGTGATGGTTGCAAAACTGAATATATTCAATACCACTGAATTACGTACTCAAAAATAATTAAATGTTACATGTATTTTATCACAATTTAAAAAATAAATAAAAAGGAGAAAAGAAAACCCAAGGACCAACATTATACTTCATAGTGAAACTGAATGTTTTTGCCCCAAGATTAAGATCATAGCAAGAATGTCATTCTCATCCCTTCTGTCTGCCATTGAGCTAGAAATCTTAGACAGTGCATTAAGTTAATAAAAATAAAAGTCATAATCAAAAAGGAAGACATAAGTCTTTATTCACAGATATACACATAAAAAGTCCCAAAAAATTTATTCTTAAAAGTTACTAAAACTAGTAAACAAATTTAACAATGTTATAACGTACAAGTTCAACATACAAAAATCAATTGCATTTCTATATACCAGCAACGATTAGAAAACAAATTTTAAAAACAATAATTTATCATAGCATTAAAAAACAAAATCCTTAGAAATAAGTTTAAAGAAAGATGTACAAGATCACAACACTAAAATTTTAAAAAATTAATGAAAAAAATAAAGACACTAAATTCTTAAGCTCATTTGTTAAAAAAATGAACAACTGATTCTAAATTATATAAATTTTTTTTAAAAAAACTAAGCCAAAGTAATCAAAAAGGAAGAAGAGAGTTGGAGGACTAACGCTAATTTCAAGATTTATTATAGAGCTATAGTAATCAAAACATCATTGCCAGGCGTGGTTGGCACACGCCTGTAATCCCAGCTCTTGGGAGGATGAGGCAGGAGGACTGTTGCAAGTTCGAGACCAGCCTGGGCTACAAAGTGAGCTCAAGGCCAGCCTGAACTGCATAGCAAGACCCTGTCTCAAAAAGACCAAAAACAAGAAAGAAAGAAATCATGATACTTGTGAAACAATAAAAGAATAACTGCACTGTGCATGGTGTGGCATATGCCTTTAATCCCAGCACTCAGGAGGCTAAGGCAGGAGGATCACTGAAAGTCTGAGGCCAGCCTGAGTTACACAGTAAGTTCAAGGCCAGTCTAAACTACATAGCAAGACTCTGGCTCTACAGAAACAAACAAACAAAAATTCAGAATAATAAAAGGATAACTAAAAGAGATACAAAGTCCATAGGTAGACACACAAATTGTTTTTCAGCAAGAGCATCAAAACATACAGTAAGTCTTTTCAAAAAGTGGTGATGGAACAAATAAATATTCATGTAAAAAGATTCTGACTCCTACTTCATAATACACAACAAATAATTTAAGACAGAATACAAACATAAGTATAATAATATCATAAAAATATAGACTATAGATCCCCATGAGTTCGAGGCCAGCCTGGACTACAAAGTGAGCTCAAGGCCAGCCTGAACGGCATAGCAAGACCTTATGTCAAAAAGACAAAAAAAAAGGCCCTACTAGTCAATAAACATTTTTTAGTGGCCAAATCTTAAGCACTTTAAAAACACAATATATATGAGTACCCAGTAAGAGCACAAAAACACGATCAGCTTTGTCATCAGGCAAATACAAATTAAAACCACATCAATCCCACTATAAGATGCTCACTAGAATGACTAAAATTAAAGATTGACAACATCAAATGTTTATAAATGTTATCAATGTTTGGAACTCAATGTACTTCTACAACTATAAAATATATAAAGATTTTTGAATACTGGCAATTTCATAAAAGGCTTCACACATACGAACCATATAAGACTACAATTCCTACATATGCCTAATTAAAACATAGCCATATAAATCTGGTACAAGAAACTGTATAGCTGATTTATTAGTAATAGCTGAAAACTAGCAACAGCCAGGCGTCAACAAGTGAACTGATGAAGTCACTCGGTCAATGGAATACCACTCAGCAATAAAAAGAACTATTAACACCTACATTGTGGATTGATGACACATAATTGCGCTAAAAAAGAAAAAAGAGCATGTTTGTCTCTGACATTTGGAACAGGCAAAACCAATCAATCATGACAGAAATCAGAAGTTCTTGCTTCTTGGAGTAGAGCAGTGGGATAAACGGGGAAAAGCAAAGAAAATCTTCTCAAAGGATGAACATGTTCTTACCTTGATGAAGCATGGATTACAAGGGTGTACACATTTCAGTTTTATACTTTAGATCTATGTGTCTTGTTGTATGTAAATCCATACCTTAATTTTAAAAAGATAAAATGGACACAGGCTTTGGGACCACACAGTTCAGTTCTGCCACTTACCAGTTGTGTGACCTTGGCCAAGTGTTAAACTCTCAGTCTCCTCATCTGTAAAATGGAGAGAACAAGAGTTGAGAATAACCTCATAGAACTGGCAGGAAGAGCAAGTAATGTTTTAATGTTTCAGCATACTATAAATACTCATTAAATATTAACACTTCCAAGAAAGAAATCAGCAAAGGAGCAAGATGCAAGATTGACTATAATAGCAATTCACATATATAGTATTATCTTATTTTCTTAAACAATTCCTAACAGGAATTATTACTCTCATATGGATGAAGAAACTGAGCTTCACAGGTTACCTATGGTCACTCAGTAAGTAAGCTGCTATACCAGGATGCAAACTTTGAGGTTTTTTCCACTTTCCTGCACACCAGGCGTTTCAGTAGCATCACTTCCAGCAACTACACCTGAAGCTGCCAGGACAGCCCAATTCACACATGAGAAGCTACTGTGAGCTCCCTTCATTCTTGACAGTCCCAGCTCAGCCCCCAAGTACTGAAAAGGAGGCCAATTCTGACAGTCTGATTAGGGAACGGTAATAGAGCTGCAAGGAGAAGCCTAAAAATGCTACTATAGGCTTTTATTCTGTTCTTAAAGAACAGAATGCTGCTACTTTATGCTGCTACTTGAAGACACTAATGTCCCTTCTTTAGAGCAATTCAAGGGAGAATTCTGAATGCAAAACCTGTGCTCTGAGTCTAAGAGGCAAGCTAGGGCCTGAGCAGCTCAATCTGGCAGAACAGCCTTGGAAACAGTAGCTGAAATGAGAATCAGATTTTTTTTAATATTTATCTTTTTTCTTAATAGTGAACAGTCCTTATAAGAAAATTAAATCATAGAGATATGAGTTATTCTGTAACTTCATTTTTTCCAAAGATACCACTATTAACAGTTCAGGTATCTTCTCCCAGATGAAAATGTGCCTTCTCCTTAACACATCTGTAGTATTCATTCTACTGAATGAATGACCACAATTCACTTAATTAGTCCTCTATTAATCTTCTGAGGTGTTTCCAATTCTTTCACTACTACAAAGGCTGAAAGGAGTACCTAAGACTACATATTTTGCATAATCATCATTTCTTTAGGATAAATTCCTACATCTATAAACTATTAAATCTGTAATTTTTAATTTTATATTTAAAAAATTTTAAACTGCTAAATCTACAAAAACAAACACATTAGCAGTCTGGACTACATAATGAAACACTGCCTCACAAAAAAAAGAAAAGAGAAAGACTTATTTGGGATTGAGGTGTTATACTCTCAGCATAGCTAGAGGACCAGAAGACTGTCTCCTTTCTAAAATTATGCATACCTTGGGAAAGGGTGACTTATCCACTACTGATATTATTTACACAAAATCTTCTCTTTGCTGAGACATCCAAAATGAAGAGAATTCCACTTACTCACTATTATCATGTACTGAATTTAAGCAACCATTTTCAGCTTTTCTTAAAAATGAAATAAAATAAACGTTTTAAGAATCTTTCTCTGATCTTAAAAAAATGTTACAATACTGCTCCCACAAAAGAACAACTGCTACAACCTATCTGCTCTCAGAGTTTTTCTTTCCTTAGTCACCCATTACACATCTCCAGACTTAGATGTTCAAGCATTCCCTGCACCCACCAGAGATAGTGGTAACATCTATGGCTATCCAAGGACCTTTGAATGCAACTATCTTTTCATCAACTGTAAACAAGTCCTAAACGTCTGGCTCCACAGAGAGTCCCTACAAGTCAGTAGAAGCTGGGAAACAGGGGCAGAGGTCAAGGCGATGAGAATTCAGCTTAAGCTCTGGACCTCATACCACCCTCACCCTGTTCAAAAGAATCCTTATCAGAAGGGAACTCCCCAGTAAAGGCCACACTCAGGAGACGTGATCTAGCAGTGATCTAGCAGATTCAGCTGAAGCTTGGGAAGCAGGCTTCTAGAACTGTTATGAACACAAAATACCTAAATCAGGAACAGAATGTTGTGGGGAAAAGGGGAACGTGAGGAGGAAAAACCACAGATTTGTCAATTTATCTTAATGCACTTCAAAAAAGAACCTGCCTAATAACTGACAGAATAATCTTGAATCTGAGAAGCAATCTCTTTGGAAACCTATTCCATTTTTCTCCAAAATCCTCCCAATATATGCAAAAGACACCCAAATGACACTTAAAAACAGCCTTCATTCTTTTGTGCATAAAAAGCCCCACTATCTATGCTATAAATGATTATAATGCCTTAAACTCTCCCTCCATTGTTAGCACCTGAGACTTCACAATCAAGAGAGCCACAAAAGGGAACAGATTAAACAGGGACTCTGAGATCATATTTCACTACGACTTTGTGGTGGTTATTCAATCCTTCAAACCTCACAGTTCTCATTTGTAAAACAGGGATAGTCAATTTTAAAATGCATGTGAACCATTTGGTGCATTACAAAATAAATACCAGTATCATTACTATAATGTGGTAAAAGCCACTCTACAGATTCAAACTTGAAATTAGGTATTTCATAAATGATGCAACTCTTCTCACAACTGCTGAACATATGAAAAGTGCATGGCACATAAGGAAATGGCAATTCCCTTTTCATTCTCAATCTCTAACATTCCCTCTTAAATTCATCCTATGCACATAATAATGTTCTTGGGCCTACATGAATACTTTCTGAAACCAAAAGCTGCAACATATAGTGTGATAACTACAACCATTAGGACACAGGATAGAATACTAGAATTTCTGACAGAGCCTAAGGCAACTATACATCTGTACATGGGTGTATGGGTAGAAGAGTGGCCCCAGAAGACTGAGTCCTAGAGATACCTGACAGCTAATGTAAAGCCAGTGCAAGCTAATGGTGACACACTGTCCTAACATAAGCTCTTTTTTATCTTGCCATCACCCATAGATTCCTGCTTGGTGAAAATTTACCAGTAGGGCAAAAGAGGCCAGCGACTAAACTTCCAGGTCTCTCTCAGAATCTTTTCTACTAAACTTTGCTATTATCCAAAAAAGAAAGTATATAATCTGTGTATTTATTTTGACAAAGCACAGAGCTATTGTCTTGAGCTTCCTAAAAGGTCAAATAAATGGGTTAGCAGCTGCTGTTGGGGGAAGAGGGATAAACCCTCTAACAGTTAACCAGATGGTAAAGAAAAGTCTTAACCAAAATGGTCATCAGAACATGAGCTTCATTCCTGTGAATGAACTGTACTTGAAGCAGTAACTTATGTTTGCTAACATCTGGAATGATTCTTCTTCATGTCGCTAATAAAATGCAGTTACAATACCCCATTAGCACAAACCTGAGAATTTCAACATTCCACTACATAGGTTAAAAGAGCACACACTTAATAGAGTTTAAACAGGGTGTAGGAGCACATGCCTGTAATTCCAGCACTCTGGGAGGATAAAACCAGGAAAAGTGCAAGTTTGACCTAAGCTGGATAATTTAGAAACTTTGTATGAAGGCCCTGGGCTCAATCCCCACTGCATCAAAAAGAAAGGAGAGGGGTGCCCTTTGATAAGCATTATTTTATTCTAAACCCTTTAAATATTAGTTTATTTATTCCTTAAAGCAGCCCTCACAAAATAAGAATAATTATCCCCATTTTATGGATGAGAAACCTGAGACATAAAAAGAATAAATAACCAAGCTCACAGAGTTCATAAATATTGAACCTAAGTTGAGCCCAAACAATAATGAGCCAGAATCCATGCTCTAAATTCAGAAGTTTTTGCCTACGTAAAAAACTAAAGCACTCATTTGAAATGCAGATAAAAAATTTGTAAGCAAACATGTTCCCTGTGGACATTATTTAGAATGTAGAAACAAACTAAACGCCCAAGAATAGGAGAATGGTTAAACATGATTCCTAACTATGTAAAAGATGAGCTCAGACACAAACAGGAAGAGCTTGTTGTCAAATGAGATACAATGGTTATTTCTAAGTGGTGCAATTAGGGTTGCTTGTATTTGTCTTTCAGTGTTTTCCACAATGAACATCCATTATTCTACTACTAGGTTAAACAAATGCAACTTGTTTTAATTAAGCTCTACCAGAACCCTCAACTAGTTGGGGTTTGGGAACAACAGCTAAAAAGCTTCTGATCTAACTTCAAGTAATTCCCTTCCTTGGGATGGTAGCCTCTGAACATCAGACAACACAGCACATGCAAAAAGAATGTTTATCTTCAACTTTGGAAATGGAAGTGGAAATGGAACTGAGTGTTTTCAATTTTGGTCTATGTTTATGTTCAATGCAGTTATTTTAGGATATTACAAGACATAAATTTTATTATATCTAGGCCAAAAATTCAAAAATAACAGCTGAAATAGACAAGAGACAAAAGTTTGACTGAGGGGGAAGAACAGCTGTTGCTAATCTAACCATCTACCCTTTGACCTTCTATCTGCCCAATAACTGAACAGTACCAATTGTTTCCCTGTATTATGTGCTGTTTACAATCCCTGAGAGCCACGAAAGGAATTAATAATTTAGCCTAGAAAGCTGACAGCCTTTATTGGGGAGCCCCTTGTCTGTGGGATAGAAATCAGAGCAAGAGTCATCCTGAAGTCACAGGTCCCTTTACTGTTCCTGTTTTATAGCTTCATTGGCCCCCAAACATAAATCAATTATTTCTCCTGTTTTAAGCAACAATGACATCTATTCTCTAACTTCCCTTGTATCAAGTCAGTCCTTGTTCTACTGAGTTTTACAACTACACGGTAAACATGATGGCTGAGGGAAAAATTCAGGGAGCAGGGCAGACTAGGGTTATTTGGAAACAGAAACACAGAAAGGTTATGCTGTTTTGAACTTCTCTTGACCTTTGGCTGCCCTTAGCTTATGCTAATGGGCATGGTATGGGGCACTTCTTGTAGAAATGAACTTAGCCTGAACCTGTGCCATAACATTGGACTCCAGAAGCCCAAGAATCATAGGAAGGCAGCCAGAGTGTGAATAGCTGCCCATATTCTAAGCATAGCTGCCCATCTGCTATAACAGAAAAAGGTGAAAAAGGCCATCTGAATTGGACAAAAGTCATCTTTGCTTAAGAAAGTTCCAACATATCCCACCTGTTTTTCCAAATCTGCTATCTGCAACCACTGCCAAACACAACTGGAAATTAACAGGAAAGGTATGTCCTGTTACAGAGTAAGCAGGTATGAGCAGGCTTCCCCTACCAGGAATTTGGGAGGAAGAGAGAACACTGGGGCCTCCAAATTCCAAAGATATAATAAAGAAAAATTCCTATTATTCTCAATCTGATGTGCAAATGCCACAAGGTAACATACAACATATTATTCCTTTCTGGGCAGAACACACAGAATTTGTAGTACCAAAAACCAGATTCAATTTAATACAACACACACATCCCATTCTCAGTTCTCAGAATTCCTATAACCTGATAGTGCTAAATGTGTCCATTTGAACTTCAAGATTTGCCACATGGGGAAGCACATGCCCGTAATTTCAGCACTTGGGAGGCTGAGGCAGGAGGACTGCTACAAGTTTGAGGCCAGCCTGGGCTACATAGTGAGTTCAAGATCAGCCTGGCCTACACAGCAAGCCCTGTCTCAAAAAAAAAGAACCCCAAGATTTGTACACTGAGATTTTAAATTTTTACTTTTTGTCTGTTTATTATTATAATCATCAAAACTTTATGTATTTCTTTAGAGGATAAAAATAATATTAACTTCACAAAGATAAAAATATAGGAATTACTGAGAATACTATCATATACACTACATACATTTTTTTTCCTTTGGTGATGCTGGGGATTCAACCCAGGATCTTGTGTGTGATAGGCAAGTGCTTTTACCCTGAGCTACATCCCAACCCACTAAAGTATAACTTTTTTCTTAAAAGATGATTTTTTTGGTAACTTCCATTCTACACTGATACATAAAACTATGCCCACTCACATGGAATGGAGAGGTCTGTACATCATCATAGAGATTCTATACATAAATATTAAATGACCTAAGGTTACTTAGCCCAGTAAGCAGAATAATTCAACAACTTTTATGTGACTATCAGAAGCATACTGCAGCAAATGCCATGATTAATTTTCAGTTGCTACTAAGTATATAAAGGGAGAATAAGCTTTGGTACTATGTTAAATTCCAGTCCTGAAAAGCATCATCATTTAACTAGACCTTGAAATGGTCACTATTCTACCTTGACTTGTAAGAGTATAGATTTGAATGCTTCACAAATTAAATGGTTATCAATGCTTATTAATTATAAATTTATAAGAAAGGATAATCGTTCTTTGAAATAAACTGTCAAAACTAGCCAATACTTTAGAAAGTGGCTGTGAGACTACAATCTTTGCTGTTGCTGCTAGTTTCATAGGAGGATGGAGGCCAGAGCAAGACCAGTACAAAAGAGAAATTTTTAGCACACCCACTTTCTATAAATGAATTCAATCCTGGCCACTGAGCAATATTGGGAAAAGAAAAAGAAAGCATATTATAAAAAGCAGAATACCATTCTTATAAAGTGAAATAAAATCTGAGTCAATTACATAAAGCTTTCAATAACATCTTAAGTTACACATTTAAAATCATACACACACATTTGTTTCTTACCAACAAACAGTGGGGAACATTCAGAACTTACTAGTGCCTGGATCGAGCTCTGTCAATTCATCCTGACAGAAACCTAAAAAGAAAATAATAGAAAAAAAGATTATGATTTGTAAATTACTCCAAGCTAATTCCAAGTATGACTGGCCACGTATCATACAATGGGGAAAAAATTCAGACTTAGCAATTTGGGGAACTAGGTCTGATAACACATATTTACAATCCCAGCACTGGCGAGGGTGAGGTCGGACGATCATCTTTAAGTTTAAAGCCAGCCTGTATTACACAGTAAATCCAAGGCCAGCCTGAGACACAGAATGAGATTTTGACTCCAAAAAAAAAAGTCAATTTGGGTTTGAATCCTACCTCTAATAATTAGCTACTATATACCCCTCTGACTTTCCATTTCATCACCTTACTATATTAAAATAGAGATAGTAGCAGTTACTACAGAGTAGTAATGAAGATTAAAGGAGATACCAATATAAAATGCTTAGCACAGAGTGGGAACTCAAGCAATAACACAATTAAGAAGAGTAAGCATGCTGGGGCTGGGGATTTAGCTCAGCAGCACAGCCCCTGCCTGGCAAGCGCAAGGTCGTGTTTGATTCCTGGTACCAGGAAAAAAAACGAAAAAGTAAGCATGCCAGCTGGGCGTGGTGGCACACACCTATAATCCCAACACTCAGGAGGTTGAGGCAGGAGGATCATTGCGAGTTCGAGACCCACCTGGGGTACAAAGTGAGCTCAAAGCCAGCCTGAACTGCATAGCAAGATCCTGACTCAAAAAGACAAAAAAAAAGGAAAGAAAAAAGAGTAAGCACACCAATGTCAGTTACATTAAAAACTGACAGGAAGAGATGAGAACATGGCTCAATGGTAGAGTGCTTGTATGCATGTGTAAGTGCCTGGGTTTGATCCCAGTGCCATTACACCAAAAACAAAAGCCTCTCAGGGGAAGAAGATTACAATTCTTTAATATCTGTCATCTTGTAGTCCCACAAAAAAAGCAAAATAAACAAAATCTTACATATTAAACAAGGAAATTTTATTTAAAATTTTCATAAGGGCTGAAATTTTTGCCCCCACACAAACAGAAGCAATTTTCTATTAATCAATATACTATTCAGACTGCAACTGTAGCTCAATGGTACAGAACATGCTAGCACACACAAGGCCCTGAATTCAATCTTCAGCATTAAAAATAATTTTTAAATGCTATTCATGTTGGAATAGACTCTCAAAAGCACATTTTATATCCAAAAGGCCTAAGCTATATTTGTCTGTGATACATAGGTATCACACTAGAAAGAAAAATCAATCAAAATGAATGGCAAACAAAGTAAGTCTTCTCTACACAGCTGATCGAAGTTATTTTTTCCTAGAATGACTATCTACTTTCTCCTATCTGTTTTCTACTCATTTTCAGTTTACATATTTCCTCAAAAAAGCTTTCTCTGGCCTCCTTCACTCTTCTCTCACACACAAGACCAACATCACAGTTAAAATTATCTGTAACACCTATGTCTTTTTGTTCATAGCCCTCATCAACATAGAATTATGTGGTCAGTGTCTGACTTTTCCACAAGGGTATACACTTGACCTGTCTTGTTCACACTGTACTCTTTTACATCTCATGTGCCTAGCACATAGGTAGCTATTTAATAAAAACAAACTGTTGAATAGGAATGATAAATTCAACAATACAACAGGACTGGCACAGTGGTGCACATCTGTAATCCCAGCTACTCAGGAGATTAAGACAGGAGCATCACAAATCTGCCATCAGCCTCAACTTAATGAGACCCTGCCACAAAATAAAATTAAAAAAAAGAACTAGGGATGTAGCTCAGTGGTTAAGCACATGTGAGGCCCTAGGTTCAATCCCCAACACTGCAGATGTTGATAAGAGGAGGAGGAGAAGAAAGAAGGAGGAGGAAGAAGAAGGAGGAGGAAGAGCAGCAGCAGATGGAAGGGGAAGAGGGACACAACTAGGACTAGCTGGGTATGAGAGCCTCAACTGGGATTCAAGTAGAAGAGGATTCCATAATTCTTTCTTTCTTTCGTTTTTTTTTTTTGTTTTGTTTTGTTTTGTTTTGTTTTGTTTTCCGCTACCGGGAATCTAATCACATAGTTCTTAAAGTCCTTTGCAATCCTGGGCTGTGCTGGTAACAACACTCGCCAAAATACACGTTTTCTTGCCTTCCTATTTCCTTCTCTTCCTCTACTTGGTTAGAAAAACTATTAATCCTTCAAGGTCCAGCTCAATTATTAACCACCACTATGAAACATGCAAAGCAAAAGGCCTCTCCAGTACTTACCAAATGATAAATGATTTAAATACCTGCCTCCTCCACTGAGCTTCAGAGGTAAGGACTAGGTCTTGCCATCTATGGAACTGCTTCTATGCTTAGAACAACTGTTGATGCACTATGAAAGATACTAAGATGTAAGATGAGTTAAAAGACACACCTTGCCTCTAGATCACAGCCTAGGCAAAAGAAAGGCATAGAATCAGAAGATTCAAGTCTAGTCTGGCCATTGTGTGGAAGGATGTCTAAATGAGGAGACTGAATCTAAAACACCAGAGTTCGAAAGCTGCTGAAATTGATTGAGAAGCCTAAGGCTCATCTCACAGTGGCTCTAAAACCTCTCTACATACAAGCAATGGGAATCAGAATAATCACAGAGAGATGCCAGGTGTCTTTTTCTAGTTAGGATACTGTAGCAAAATACCATGAACAAGATGGCTTACAACTAACAGAAATTTGTTTCTGCACACTGAGGAAATAGCTCACCTTTACATATGGGTTGAACACTGAGCATCCTGCCAGAAGTAAAACTGAGAATATGCAAAACATTAATACAGTATATACTGACCTAAAAAGAGAATAAAAACAAAGCTTTTCCAAGGGCCAGGGATATAGCTCAGCGGCACAAGCGCCTGCCTGGCAAGCGCAAGGTCCTGAGTTCAATTCCCATTACAAAAAAAAAAAAAAAAAAAAGATAAAAGCACAGGAAAGCAGGAAGTACTATATAATGGAAAGTTAGACCCGTCCTAGGTTCTAACTCAAGTCACTTTTAGTTCTATCACCTGAGGCAAGTCATTTCCTATTCTGAGCCTCAAATTCTGGACATTATATGAAAGGACTCTATCAAAGGTATCAAAAGAGGACAACGCCAATGTGCCTTCTAAAAACCAATATTCCAAACTCCAAGCAACTAGATCAAACACAAACAGAGAATAGGTGACTCAAAAACAAAGAAAATTCTACGAAAAGTAAACGTAGACATCTACTGATTTCATCTGCCTGGTAGCCACTCCCTCCTCTGCTAACTGCACCTTAATTTTTCTTTAGAGGTTTATCCCTCTTCCACTCCAAGTCCATATGATCCAATAGAGACTGACTCAATATGCTGTAAATTGGAATCAATAACAGCACCTATCTTCTAGGGTTATTAAAATGATTAAATGAGAGTACACGTAAAGATTCTGCATAGTACTTAAATACAAGCTCCATACATGTGAGCTATCACTCACAAATCTCTAGAGTCCATCCAGCTCAATGCTGGGGCTACAGAGGCAAAATATACATTATAGAAAGCTAACTACTGAGCCATCGTGACATGGGATGGAACTCTAACATCACTACTGTCACCTTAGTTACTTGCTATAATTCTTAAATCTTTTTTATATTTTTAGCTTTTAAACTATTTAATATAATTCCAGAAGTTTGCTATTCCCTGAGGAAAAGAAGGACTTCTCTATTTACCCTAAAGTTCCTCAGAGGTTCACAAAGAACCCTGATTATGGAATCAAGTAACTAGGTCCACAGGCCCGCAATCTAGTCCTAAATGCACCAACTCATGTCTCTGGTCTTACAGATTAACACTTACACAGAAGGTCTGAGGAGATACAGAGAACGGTGTTAATCCCACTAATGAAATACATGGTCCTAATGACAAGTCAGCACAGTGCTTAGATTTGGCCATCATTCCTAAGCAAAGTTCTTAGAAACCAGATCTAACTAGCAAAATTATCTGTACGTAGAAGAATTTAAATCACTGCTAGACACAACCTCAATATGTTTAGATTTCTCAATTAGATTCAATTCAAAAGCAAAAAAAATCAATTGCAAGCAGGCTCCTAAAACCTACAAATACACAAACATACTCCCCAAACCACCTGCCTAAATTAAGCACATTACAAAATATATTAAGAATACATTAGGGGCTGGGGATTTAGCTCAGCGGCACAGCACCTGCCTCGCAAGCACAAAGTCATGAGTTCAATTCCTGGTACTGGAAGAAAAACAAAAACAAAGAATACATTAAGCACATTACAAAATATTCTCAGCCTCTTTAATAAATGGTGCTCGAAAAACTGGCTCTGCACATGTGGAAGATTGAAACTGGACCTGTATCTTTCACCATGCACTAAATAAATTTGAAATAGATCAAAGATCTAAATATTAACACAGAAACATTGAATCTCGCCAGGGATACAGCTCAGTGGCACAAGCACCAGCCTAGCAAGCACAAGGTCCTGAGTTCAATTCCTAGTACCAAAAAAAAAAAACAAAAAAACATTAAATCTCCTGGAAGATAAAATAGGTAAAACTCTTAAAGACATTGGTATAGGCAAAGACTTTATGAATAAAACCCTGATCACACAAGAACTATCATGAAGAATCAACAACTGGGACCTCATCCTATTAAAAAGCTTTTACACAGCAAAAGAATCTACCAAGTGAAGAGACAAGCCACAATGTAGGAAAAAATGTTTGCCAGATGTTCCTCAGACAAAAGTTTACAATCAAGAACGTATAAAGAACTCAAAAAAAAAAAAAAAAAAAAAAATCAGACCTCCCAATTTAAAGACCCAATACAAAATTGGGCAACAGAGATGAATACATATTTTCAGATGAAGAAATACAAACAGCAATATATGAAAAAATGTTCAACATCACTGGTCATTCAAGAGATGCAAATTAAAACAATGAAATTCCATCTCACCCTGGAAAGAATGGTTATTATCAAGAAATCAACCAGAAACAAATGCTGGAGGGGATGTAG